TTGGTGCTGGGAACAGTATATTCTTTTACTTTTATGTTGGGAAAAACTGCCTGTTGCAGTTGAAACGTGCAGCTTGAATTACTCTCTGTGTAATTAAACACTCAAACAAGCTGTCACCTCAGACAGAAGCTTGCTTTTTTTCTCAAGATGCTGTCAGAGGTGACAACTTTGTTAGACTCTATTTGTCCTGAGACATGTTAGGAGCAACAGACTGTGATTAAATATATTTGTGGGTCTACCGCCATGCTAGCATCTCTGTCGTTCCATGCTAAAAAGGCTAACGTCATGTTGACAATGACAATAATAACCATGTAAAAAGTTAGTTTTCTATGTTTGCCTATTACTAAGAATGAAAAATACAATTTCTTGTTAAATATCAAGCAAAAACATGAGTACTAGTTGTGAGTTAGAGAGGATACTGACCTTCCCCGATGTATTCTGCTGCTCTGTCAACGGGCATTATGGGAGGTGAAGTCTGGATGCCAGATTTGTACCACAGAAGAAGCACAAGGCGAAAAATGGCCCTGGAGATCAATGTGAGATTAATTATATCAAACATAGTACACACTTTAAATTGGAGTATACTCTTTTCTTAATAAACATTTTATTTTTTGGTTATACTCTACATTGCAGAAAGTACCGGTAAGTGGATACCCTTTTAATTATTTGTTCAATAAAAAAAAAGATAAAGGTATCACGGTTTATATCGGTATTTATCTATTTTTCAATGATTGGAAATTTATTTACATTAATATTTTTTTTGAATTGTTATTTTCTCTATTCCACTTTCTTCTTTTTTTAAAAGTATTTGTAATGTCTGAACACACTGCTGCTTTTGTAACGAAAGAATTTACCCAAATTGGGATCAAAAAAGTATACATCTATCAATCTATTTATATGTTTTTCCTATCATAGGCAGTCCCTCTGACGAATGTGTCTTCAAGCGACGCTTGACTCGACTTTAGACATTTCATCAGCGTTGCTTGTTGAAACAGATCGTATTACCATACATTCTTCGTACTCCAATAAGTGCTTTCTGTTGAGGTGGTGGAGTAAATCACTTGTGTTACCTCCTTGGGCAACAATTTTAGTTGGACAACATTTGCAATAAATGTTAGTTTGATCCATGCCATATTTTTTTTAAATCCAATAAACCTCCAAACGGCAGACACAGCTCCTCTCCTCGACACAAGTTCTGTCATACATGTATCTCCATCTCCAGTCTAATTTTCTTCAGTTTCCATCTTTACATTCAGCTTCACATGTTATGCTAATGCTACTAGGCTTGGTGCTGAACCCCAGCATGCTGCTCGATCGCCCTTCCCAACATTTTTAACGGTATTGTGGTATAGGAAAAATTCATATCATACGGTATAAAGTTCACGGTATTCTGTATGAAACGGTTCTGCCCAGAACTAGGCTTTCAAACAGATGGTTAAACTTGGCACCCATTCAGACACAGGAGTATGGTTGATGTAGGGTCTGGATGTGTGGTGTAGGTCATCTTACGGGTGTGGGATGGGGTTGAGGTCAGAGCTCTGTGCAGGCCAGTATCGCTTCAACACCAAACTGGGGATGCTATGTCTTTATGGAGCTGCTTTGAGCATGGGGGCAATGAGATTTCGAAATAGTAAAGAACCAAATGATTGACTAAAAGTTGGAAGTGAAGTGTGGAACTTTGTCTCCCTCCTTTGGTAGTAAGAGGAATTACCATACAGGAGAGACTAAAATGACAGGGCAGCAGCTAGAGGGTATGTGGAAGATACATTTCAAAAGTGGGTGTTCAAGATTTTAAAGTAACTTGATGTTCAAAGGAAGGATTAAAGTAAAAAAATGCAGTGCACTCCTGCAGGCTTATGGGCCCCGAGTGTGTCAAAGTTAAACGACAGACACACTTAGCTCAGATGTGTAGGGAATATTGAATTTGTCATTTTATATATGCGTTTTTCTTCTCATGTTAAAAAAATAGATACTACTTCAAGAGGAGGGAAGCTTACTTGAATATCTGAATGAGACCGATCACCAGCCAGCGGCCTGCGTCCCCCCACAGCCTGCAGGATCCCATCTCCAGGAAGACCTCCACATGCTCCATCACCGAGAGCCAGGTGAGCAGCCTCTGCTGAGAGAGGGGCTGGAGAGACAGAGGAACAGTGCTCAGAACTTTCATCTGCAGCACAGGAACAGCATAGCATCTTATTCAAAGTCGCCTGTTGCTTTATTATAAACCCATAACAAGGCAGTCACACTGATGTTTTTCTTTCTTCATATACTTTAATTTATTTATTTTTACAAGTTTTCCACTTATGCTTTTTTGGCTGTTCCCTATCCTGTAGTGTGTTCTATGGGTTTGTGTGCATGTCAATGATCTGCAAAGGCTAACATCCAGAGGGAATTTCTCTACGAGCCCCTGCCTGAAAGGCCTCCATTGGACTCCTTTGTTTACTTCAATAACATAGTGACATCACTTTGTAACACTCGCGCTTCTATTGGCTAGCACTCCAACACATTGTATTTGATAGGCTAAGGGGTGGGACATCTCCAAGCGTTTGACCACAACAGAGCCAGCCAGCCAGCTAACCAATCAGAGCAGACTGGGCTCTGGATGACAAGTGAGTGATACCTCAGACACTCATTCATTATCCAAAATGACAAACCATAAATAAAGAAGAAACTATAAATGAGGATGAACTTCTTTCAATGCTGCCTCCAATCCACTACCACCCTCCCTTTTGCCACTACTCCCCAGAAACCAATTAACTATACAGATCATTGAATATTCAACTGCACATTTTTCAATACTAGCTAAACCCACAGATGAATGAAGCAGTCTTTATGTATTTTCTGAGCTGGATGATAGGTTAGATTGTTTGAAATGCAAAAGCTATCCAAAATGGAAACGAGTTGTAAATGTTGAGCACGTTTTTCAGCAGGATTGGATAATATCATGGTAGGAACCGCGCAGCGGCAGAAATGTATCCACTGGAAGAGATTTGGTAATACCGCTTTGATTGATGTTGTATAATCAGGTTAAGAGAACTCTGGATAAATCATTACCTCACAATGTTTGGTCAGCTTTTTGGATAAATGATTAGCAAAACCTGCAGGAATACGCAATCGTTTTTCTGGTGTTCTTTCACGTTTTTTTGTGATTGTTCATTAGCTTTATTTTGCTCTGAATTAAGTCAAACTGGTATTTATTTTGATCCAGCACTATCTTGGTACATCGGCCGCTCTGTAGCCATTTTTCTTTCTTGTTTATCTTCGTATAGTACAGACTGAGCCCGGCGTGTATCAAATCCCTGGCCTGTATGAACGCTACTAGTGTCTGTGTCTCTTTAAAGGCATTTCTTCTTCTGTGAATGTAATGTGAGAGGTAAATCTATCCAGCAGTGCTCACCAGAGGGAGGGAACATCTCAGCCCTTTGCGCAGAATACTGTCATTGAACAACACCAGCATGTTGGAGGCAGAGTACACTGAAAAATAAAAGACATGAGGAGAGATCAGGCAATACATATATTCAATAATGCATGAACAGCAACCATTTAAGAAGCTTGAAGATGGTACTTTGCTTGGTAATTCACTTCTTTTTTTTTTTGCGATTATGAAAACAGTTTTCTGTTGATTAATTATGAATCTATTATTAGTTTATGTTAACCTATGTAAGTTTAGTTCTTATCATTCATTTTTACTTTCAGTTTTGCTCCTTTGCATCATCTAGTTTTGTCTGGTAAGTTTCATTTTGACATTTTCAATATATTTCACTCGTCTATATACAAAAGAAATAATAATAATAATAATAATGCTGTCAATTGTATTATTGTTGTTGTCAAAGCATGCATCATCCTTGCTGAAAGAAGAAAACGTCTTGCTTTAGTCAGATGTGTGCAATATTACATCATTTGAAAATCGACTAATTTCTAAAGTTCACATGACACGCCATTAAGATTATACTTAAGATATGTCTTTCTTGTTGTGATAAACGGGATATTATGCCCAATCATGTGTAGGATATGGGACAAGACGTATTGTTAGTATGTTTGTTTTTACTTTCGGTTTTACTTGCATCATCTAGTTTGATCTGTTGACCAGTTTAAATGTTATGGTCATACTGTTTGTAATGCAACTGCTAAACAGTTATATGCCTCAGGAAGAATGAAGTCCCATCTTATCTTACATGCCAACTGACCTTGAAGCTTATTATTGAACCTTGACTTACCTAGTTCAGATATTAAATGGGAATCTGTGAATCGCCCTGAAAAAAAAGGTAAGAAAAATAATACAGTTTATTGGCCAAGTTTTAGCTTACACAGAAATAGACACAAGAGCAAGCACAACGAAGCTGGAGGAACACAACTAATGAATAGACAAGACTTTATGTACACAGGTTTGTGAACAAATATGTATATTTTATTATTAAGGACCAATGACAACCTAAATAAAATTCATGCAAGACAAAATGTGTCACATGTTGTCATTTATTATATGAGGAAAACATTAAATCTAGAATCTTTATGTGCAGCATAAGCAGCTAGTGTCATGGTTTTAAGTTATAATGAAACTAATATCTGGTCTGGAACCCAAGTTTAAGTTAACATAAATTAGAGGTGGAGTTAAGCCCACACACAGTGTTACAATGTTTTAATATATGATTAATCTGAGTAAAAGCTGTGTCACTGACCTGCGATCAGGTATGAGAGGGTCCGCACCGTCCCCTCCACCTGTGTGGCGGCGGAGGGGTTTCTCTTCACATACTCAATGTACCGCTCATAAACACGAGTTACTTTATCCACGTACTCTTTAAGAGGAGACATTTCAGCTTATACTTACTCTACACTAACATATAAACTCTCCATGTAGCCGCCATGTTCATAAAATACCAGCTGTTAAGGAGCTAGTTTGAAAAACATACGACTTCTTGAAAACAAAACTAACTTCCGCCCGGGAGAACCGTCAGCCATTAGCGTCCCCCGCTCCCAGGTCGAACACACTGGTTCCGGTTCCTACCGTTAGCATATAGTGCGCGGTTCTTGTTCTTCCGGACACGTTATTGTTGCATCAGCATCCAACCATCCAGCACTGTGGATATGTCGACCTCAGGAGAGCCAGGTACTGTAAAGGTTTATTTCTGCTTTAACCCCCTTTAAAAACCAGGGGATTTATAGTCATAGGTAATGGAGCAGAGTGTATCGACTAAGACCCTTAGGTCAATAAATAAGATTCAACAGCTTGCCGGAATGTAAATGCAACACTATTTAGTCACAAATACATAGTCCATACAGCAGTATTATGTTAAACGACTGAAATACTTTATGTTTAATTGGTGCAATGTTTTCAATAGTGTTTGGTGTGGCGTGTTCTGTAAAAGAATATGTGACGTTACTAGACTAATCGAAATGCGTTAGAGCTGAGCATTTCAAGGTATTCCAGGTCTATGTTTCTAGTGTAATATTAAAAAGTGCAACAGGGCACAATAGGCTCATATTACCAAAATATGGCCAAATTAAAGACAATTTATTTCGTTTACAATAGTAAGCAAAACGGTTGTTTTCACATCAGGCCAGATGTTATTTTTGATCCCTTTTTCATCAGCATTTTATTTATAAAAATAACTATTAATGATGTTATAGGTTTTGTGGTTTTGGTTTTGTTTGGTTTTAAATTGTAAAAGGTTTATTTATTTGTATACTTTTTACTTTCAGTTGTGCTCTGTTGCATCATCTGGTTTGTGTTTCGGTTTGACAATGTTACTTGATTTCACTCATTTATACATTTGAAAATGGGTTCAATTGGCAAATGTCCTGAGACCTGGAATAACTAGAATTATTACATTTATTATAATAAGTAATATTATATTTTAATATCATTAATGAGTATTTCTTGTTACTATGTGCCGTTGCAACATCCGGTTAAATTAGTCAGAAGTGCAATATTATTTACATCATTTGAGTTGCTCTTTACAGTTATAACTTCATACTGAGAGATGTTCATCGAAATGTTTACTTAAAATCAGTCTACCTTTTTGGGACAGTTTGTTTAATTCTTAATTTGTTTGTTTTTACTTTCACATTTGCTCTTGCATCATCTAGTTCCATCTGTTACATTTCTGTTTGACAATTGTACATATTCGTATCTATTCAAGATCAGGTGCTAAAGGGCCTGAGACCCTCTTGGAATCAATCTTCACAATAATAATAAAATGTAATGTATGATTGCTGTGTTTCCCCTAGGATGGAGTCATAGAAGCGGTGCTAAGGCACGTTGGCCCAGCATAATGTGAGCGCGGAGCGCGTGGAATTTTTTAGTGTGTGCACGTGCGAAGTGCGCCCCGCTAATTTCTTTCTATGTGTCAGCACAAGAAAGGCTCTTGAGGCCTAGTACCAGGGCCGGATTTAGACAATTTGCTGCCCTAGGTGAGATTTTAGGCGACATTTTATATAAAGAATAAATGAAAAATCTCTACAAAAGACAAATACACTGCAAAAACAGAAACTTATTGACATAGGTAATATAAGTCAAAATGGCTTCAAATGTATTCAGTATTGTATAAACATGTTTGAATTGGGGGGTGGACGTCACATCCTCTATGGGGGTCCGGGGGTATGCCCCCCCGGGGAGATTTTTTTTTTTTAACATTTTACAGTAAAATGCTTCAATCTGGTGCACTTTGAGCACACAATTACTAGAGACCTGGGGCC